AGAAACTAATTTCACACTTCACTGAAGTCAATTTTTACTAAAATGGGATTATTTAAAGACAAACCAGCAGGTTTGGTGAATGTAACAGATGTGAGAAAAATGTTATTTATCAGTTAAGATATCATTATTCTTAGTTCCAAAAACGATTTACACACAAAAAACTCCAAGCCATAATTTTATAATAAAGATGTATGAGGAGCGTTTTCTATCCTATGCGACTAGCATAGGTTAGACTACATTTTTTAAATTTTCCACGTATATCAACGTTGGTCCTAGTGAATGTTATGTTCAAAATTAAAGATCTGATTCCCTCAACCATTACGCACACAAAAAACTGGACTTAACCCAGAACAGTAAAAAATAATCAACCTTTTGAATATTTTCAAGTTAAGGGGAAGTATTAACATTTTTGCATAAAAATGCTAACATATATTTTTCTACAAGAAATCTTTTATTTCATGCTTTGCAGTGTTTTATTGTAATATATCAGATGATTATATTCTGATAAACCACTAGTGAAATTTATAAAATATAATTTTCACAGTAGCCGGACTATTTCTGAATGCGGATGAAAAGAAAATCAAACTTAATGGAATTACAGGCAGAAATAAATGCTGTCATACGTAAATTTTGCTTCTTTAGGAAAAGAAAGTTGATGTCACCATACATCATGTTAAAAATGTAACAAAAATTTAGATATATTTAACAGAACTATATTTCAAAATTGATGATGTGACGTCACAATGTGATGACGTCACAAAGGAGAATGTGTGACGTTACGCGGCAAAATCAGAAAAAAATACTTAAAATCACTTAAAAAGCATGAAATAAAAAGAAAATTATTTGTTTTACATATAAGATTGAAATATATTTCATTCGTGAACACGAGCTATTATATTTTCACTTGTGGCAACGCCACTCGTGAAACTATTGCATCTGGTGTTCACTCAGTGAAATTATATTTCAATCTTACATGCAAAACAAACAAATATCCTCTATATCTTATTTGAGGGGTCATTTTGTTAGTTAAATAATGACCTAAAAGAATGTACAAACAGTGAAAAATGTTGAAAAAATATGCGTGAAACCTGCCGGTATCCCTTTAACTATCTGTGTAAACTATAACTTTAGTATTATCCCTTTCCTTAGGTTCATGAAATAACAACAAAATATATTTAAATCAGAGAAGGAAACAAATGTTTAGATAGCTTTTGTACGGAACAAACATGAGGGTATACAAGTGCCGGTTACACAAAGTCAGTAACTAGTAATGTCTAATGTCATAAATGCATTGTTTCAATTGTCACACTGGTCCTCCGATTCTGTTTTGGTTTTCTTGGTGGATGGTTCCACGCTGTCATCATTTGAGTCTTCTTGGGAGATGCCCAATTCCTCGGTATCATCTTTCTTGCTTTGCTTGCTGAGCAGTTCAATGCTGTCGTTGACAGGATCGTCTTGTGAGTTGCTCATGTCCTCGGTATCACTGAAAATAAGATCCATGTTTAGTGTTTCAAGTTTTGCTTCTTCTACTTCCCGTTTTAGTGTTTTTACTTTAGACGCAAGCTCATTTTTTTCCATCGACAGATGACTACAGTACTGTGTCAATTTTGCATTTTTTTGTTCAAGGGTACTGCAGTACTGAGTTAATGTTCTTTGCTTTTGTTCAAGGCTGTTAGATTTTCGTACAGCATTTGAAAGTGAACCGTTGGCATGAGAGTAAAACGCATTTAAAGTTGTCCTCATACACTTTATGGTTTCCTTCGCGTCACCTACATCATTCTCAGACAGAGAATACAGACTTGCTCTGAGTTGGGTATCGAACTGCTCTCTAAAGCTTTTCATACTGTTCTGTAAGTCTTGTATGTCAGACTGTCTATTACTTTCAGATGCGGGTAATTTCTGAACACTTCCAATAGGCGATGGTTTCTTAAGACTTCCAGCTGGAGAGTGCAGTGTTGAACATTTCTGTGATGTGTTCTTCTTTTCTGGGGTAATACTAAAGAAATTGTCCACATTAGTTTGACGTGTACTGCTGGAAGCTTTCTGAGGTGTTGTGGATACTGATGAGACAGGAGTGTTAGAAGCCATGGTTGTTGTGGAAGAACTACTAGATACACTGGTTGATGATGTTGTATGTGGAGATTTTATCAGAGACATTGTGGGAGACTTCAATTAAATCACCTGAAAATACATGGAAGAACATGTTGACAGACTGTCCAGAGTCATGGTGAAACGACTTCTGCCAGGATTGTTGAAAGTGTATTGTTGTTTTTCCATCGAGGAGCTGTATAAAAATATATGAAAATACTTCATTTCGCTAAATAAATAAAAATTGCTAAATACATTTCTCTAAATAATTATACACATGGCAAAAACTAAAAGCAGGTTAATATGTGAGTGAAGAGAGGGAAGTGAGTTCTGCAATGGTTACAATACTATATTCAAGCAATCCTGTTACCGGTGTCACCCCTGGGAGGCGTCGTTTCTTTACACTAATATATGGTTGGGTTTATTACTTTGATCATGTAAAGCTACATGTTACGGCTTTAGAAAAAACATCTAATTAATTTCACATTATTATAAAAGCATTAGAATATTTGGAAACCTTCACTGTGTAACAACAACTCATTCAAGAAGTATTAAATCAAGATCAAATCAAAGTATTAATTCCCAACAGATATATTAGTATAAATGGCACCATATACATAGAAAAGTGGAGGAAGGATAATAAACCACAACATCTCAAAGACAAGCATAGCTACCACTACAAGCATTATTACCTATTATACTTTTTTCCATCTTCATTCCACTGTTTCATTTCTGTACATATACCTAAAATGATCTACAGGTAACCTTATGTACATGTTAAATTAAATTACAAATGTAAAATTTATATGTTCAATTATTTATATGGTATATAGTGAAAAAATCAACAAAGGGCCATAATTCTGTTAAATTTGGTCGCAGCAAAAATTCCTTCCTTTACTACCATCTACACATTAAGGTTGTTCATCCCTGGAAGTTTAAGCAAAATCTGCCATCCGGTTTAAGAGGAGTTGCGTTCACAAAATTTCTATATGGTATATAGTGAAAAAAATCAACAAAGGGCCATAATTCTGTCAAATTTGGTGGCAGCAAAAATTCCATCCTTTACTTCCATCTACACATTAAGGTAGTTCATCCCTAGAAGTTTAAGCAAAATCTGCCATCCGGTTTAAGAGGAGTTGCGTTCACAAAATTTCTATATGGTATATAGTGAAAAAATCAACAAAGGGCCATAATTCTGTTAAATTTGGTCGCAGCGAAAATTCCTTCCTTTACTGCCATCTACACAATAAGGTTGTTCATCCCTGAAAGTTTAAGCAAAATCTGCCATCCGGTTTAAGAGGAGTTGCGTTCACAAAATTTCTATATGGTATATAGTGAAAAAATCAACAAAGGGCCATAATTCTGTTAAATTTGGTCGCAGCGAAAATTCCTTCCTTTACTACCATCTACACAATAAGGTTGTTCATCCCTGAAAGTTTAAGCAAAATCTGCCATCCTGTTTAAGAGGAGTTGCGTTCACAAAATTTCTACATAGTATATAGTGAAAAAATCAACAAAGGGCCATAATTCTGTTAAATTTGGTCGCAGCGAAAATTCCTTCCTTTACTACCATCTACACATTAAGGTTGTTCATCCCTGGAAGTTTAAGCAAAATCTGCCATCCGGTTTAAGAGGAGTTGCGTTCACAAGATTTCGGGACGTACGGACAGACGGACGGACGGACAGACGTACGGACACTCGGACGGACAAGTGCTACGCTATATGCTCCCACTCTGTGGGGGCATAAAAAAATCTTGAGAAAAATATATTTAAAGTTTGGAAAATATATGAATATTCGCACTACAGGTGTTAAAAACACTGAATGTATCATGCAAAATATATGACAATTTACTGTTTTGATCACCTAACTTTAACCTTGTCGCTTTTGAAATTTAAGAAATACCTGTATAGTTTGAAAAGTTGAAAGTTTATTTCTGTAAGTGTGTTAGAATAGGTTATATCACTTTGATGTGTACACTTGAAATCCAGACATTTTTGAAGTTTTCACAATAATCATCAAGAATCTGGAGGCATGCTGCTTAAGCTTAATCTTTTTTATCTGTTCATTGTACTTTTTAGACTACAATAAGAACATTTTAAAGAACTATCACATAGTGATGATCAAGAGATTTGATTGATATTATGTTAACAAATGCAAAACTATTAAAATGTACTCTTCTTTTTTGTTTTCAGTGTGGATTAAAGGGCCACTATGCAAATAGATGTCCAAAAGGAGATCTGGCGTTCCTTAGTTCATCAAATGTGCAGCCAGCATCATAACTTAGTTTATTATCATTGCTGATTCTTCAACATAAAATATCATAATTCATTATGTAGAGATTTGATTAATCAAATTCATTGTTTATAGATACATTAATTGTCTGACATGTTTTGTTAAAGAAAAAAATAAAATGAAATAAAAATTGATTGAGGTTTTCGTGTTTCTTTTTTGTCACCCTGTGTTAGTGAGACTATATCCCTATATGCAGGGGTATAAAGATATCTTATGAAATATTTCTATAAAAGTTTATCAACAGTAAAATTATGTTGATTCTAGAAAGAATTGTAACATAGAACATCTCTGTTATCTATCACACATAAATATTGTACATAATAGAATACAATGTTCCGCAACAAGATACCTATCAGCTATTTTAAATAGGCTTTCATCTGTTTAGCAATGATTTTTTGTATGCACCATTCAATTCTAAGGCAATTTACTACAATTTTTATTTTATACTTGTGTTTTGGAAGTTTTTTTTAAAATTTAGACAATAATTTTAGCTATTTTTTTCTGACAATTTACACATCAGTATGTAGGAAAAGGTGTTCCTGCTTGGAACAGTTTCATCTAACAAGATATTTGAGCCGCGCCATGACAAAACCAACATAGTGCGTTTGCGACCGGCATGGATCCAGACCAGCCTGCGCATCCGCGCAGTCTGATCAGGTTCCATGCTGTTCCCTATCAGTTTCTCTACTTGTAATAGGGTTGGTAAGGGAACAGCATGGATCCTGATCAGACTGTGTGAATGCGCAGGCTAGTCATGATCCATGCTGGTCGCAAACGCACTATGTTGGTTTTGTCGTGACACAGCTAATTTTTTTCTGACAATTTACACATCAAATATGTAGGAAAAGATGTCCCTGCTTGGAACAGTTTCGTCTAACAAAATAGTTTTTTCTGACAATTTACACATCAATATGTAGGAAAAGATGTCCCTGCCTGGAACAGTTTCGTCTAATGAGTTAATGTGATTTGTAACATAATTTTAGAGTTGTTCATCTGTATTTTATTATTACAAGAAACTATTAAATCAAATTTAACAGGCCTTTGTGGCACAGCAGTATAGGTTACCCACTTGGTCTATCCAATTATGTTCTTAAATCGTAAAATGATAATTACTGTTTAATATTTTTTTACTTTGTACTAGTTTTAAAATGCAATTTAACAGCAAGAAGTAAATGTACTGTTATCAAACTGAAACAACCAGTGCAGGGACGTTAGTGGACGAGTGGTTAAGGTTGTTGACTTCAAACCACTTGCTCCTTACCACTGTGGGATTGAATCCAGGAAGGGACATTGGATCTTTTCATGTTAGAAAGCTATCCCACTCTTGTAAAATGTTGGAGGTTCTGCTCAGGTGGCGATCTGAGCCTAAAATAATTGCATGGAGGGGCACACATGTACTTCATCCACTAATAAAGTTGAACCTATACAGTGTTGGTGCAATGTAGCACCCCCTCCCCAAACAAAAACAAGAATAAAATAACCATTGCAACTCTGATAAATCACTTCCCCAAGAGCCAGTTTCTTGGAATTGACCAGTAATGGTGTCTTATGAGGAACCATGGTTGTAACACGTGAAGGGCTGAACCCATGACCATTGAGTTGATAGGCAAACAACTTGACCATCCCACAATATATAGTATGGTTTGAACAATGATTGGAACAATGGTTTGAACAATGATTGGAACAATGACAATAAAATACACTCTTATGGTTAAAGACTCTTTATTAACAATGTCTATTATTTCAGATTTTGGACATACCTGAAGGCACCATATAATTATAATTACAAACTTCTTGTGGTAATTAAATTGCTAATTTCTCATTTCATATCAACAATAAGTCAATAACAATTTTACAATTATTGCAACTAATAGGAGGCATTCCTTAACATAATTCATGCTTTTAATACTAACAATACTTGGTTGTGAAGTTAACTGTACTGATGAAAAATAATAGAAAATATGTTCGCTTATTTAACAGTAGTACTGTATTTTAAACTTAGAATTTCAAATACATGACTACCTGGGGAAATCAACTACTTGTGCCACTTATTTCAGAACAAGGGACACATTGGACTGAATTTTCATCTTAAATATCATCACAATATGATAACATAATCTCCCATTGAAATTCTTAATCAGTACTATTCAACACACACTTCCCAAATCCCCCATAAAATTAGCCTTCTTCCCCATCCCCCATAAAATCAGACTTTCTTTTTCTTCCCTTTGAATTTATTCTTCTTCTTTTCCACCATCTTCTTTTTCCTCTTCTTTCTCTCCATCATTATATCAAATGGTGTTTTTCCTTCAGTTTTTGACTTCTTTTGGTTTTTATCATTTGAAGTTCTATCATTTTTCCCTTTAGTGAATTCACGTTTGCCTTTTGAGCTTTTGTCCCCTTTAGCTACATTGTCAGTTTTTTTGCCTTTCACATCAATTTTCCTCTTCTTTACAACTGGATTTCTTTCTGTTACCAGTTTCTTCCGTTTGTTTTTCCCAGGTACGAAAGAATCTGTAAATAATTATAATATATAAAATGTTATTAAAATTTGTTGATACATTCATTAAATATGTCATGAAATAAAGACTATCCGTTATGCTGCTGAATGTTAATAATGGAACTTATCCTTCTTTACATAGAAATTTAGAATTGAGAGGAACTATAGTTAAGTGACGAACATATTTGTTTGTTTGTTTCATTTTACGCCTTTTCCTAACAGTATTTCAGTCATATAGGCGGGTAGTTTCCTAACCATCGTTCCTGGAGAGATGACGAACATAAGTTTATGGTCTGGTCTGACTGCAAAGAAGTGCTGACCCACCTGATTTTGTTTGTTTGTGTTTGGTTTTATTAGGCACCAACACAATTAGATCATATGGTGCAGAAACAGAAAATTTAATTTTGGAGAACCTCGGGTGCTTTAAACTTCAAAGCAATGCCAGGGTCAGAACCACCTTACCTACTAGAGCTAAGATATACATAGACTTCAGTTATTCACATCCATTTAGTCACCTCTTAATATCATGCAGGGATATATGGTGGCTGCAATTCTTAGGTTACAACCCCCTTAAAGGCAACCCCTTTGCCACAAGCATTTCAAGTTTCATAGGCAAATATATATATATATAATTCATTAGCTATTAAACTATCTTATGGTGCTAAAAGCTTCAAATGGGAAATAGTTCGAGAAAGAGTAATTATATATTAAAGTTTTAAACATAATTATCGAAAGGGTTATTTGATTTCGTGTTTACCACTTATTACATAAAGCAAACAAGTATGATTTTAATTTAAAACAGGAGACTTCAATTGAAAACCAATGGCCTGTTTGTTTGTCACATTTCTACGCAGATTTCAACGCATCTCGGCAGCAAGTCCACCTAACCATCCACTTCCAGGGGATATTATGAAGAACTTAACAATGCACTACCTCCTTACCACAGGGCTCACGCTGTCAGTCGCCATAGTCGCCATTTGCGTTTATTTTATAAGATTGGCGATTATTTTTGCATTTTGGCTACAAAATCTGGCGATTATTTTTTACTTCCAACAGTGTTTATATAAGGTGTAAAAATCGATAATGAATGCAGTAGACCCAATTAACACCAGCAGGGTGCATTTAATTGAGTGTCAACTTTTTACCGGTCACGTGCTGTTAACTATATTGCCCGAGGTGATAAAATACATGCAAGATGTATAATTGTATAAGTACTTTAAAGATATTGTCCAGCATTGTAATAGCCATCAAATATCCGTCAATAAGCCACAAAAATCGTTTTAAAATTGATAAACAGGATATTGACTTACCCAAAATTTACCGTGAATTGCAGTAATTGCAAATTTTGATTTTTTTTTGTTTAAAGCTACTTGACCAAATCGCCAGTGGGAAACAATGGTAATATATTAAAAAAAGTATTAACTTCCAAACAACTTTTTGCACAACAACCAAATTGTGAATATTTCTTCAGAAAACAGGAAAAGTCCGATTGTCACATATTTTCGCGACACCGATAATTTTGATATTTATTTAAAGGTGAAATAAGCTATGTTCTGTTTAAAATCTTTACTACTATGGCAGAAAATTTGTATTACATTGGTGATGATGATATTTTTTCAGTAAATTATTCAGAAAAAAAGCTGCATTCTGTGAATGAGTTTGCAACTTGTGTTATTTCTATAGGCTAATTAATATGACTTAGATCTACTCCAGTTCTGTGTGAAATTGACAGTGGTTATAGCTGACAAAATTTGATTAGAACAAATAAAAAAAGTTGTCTGATAACAGCATTATGTAATGTTATAATGAATCTTTAATATTAGTGTTATACAGTAATTATACTAATTATAACATTTTTGTTCTGTTCTATAATAACAATTAAAGTTGTGGTTCTATTAAAAATAGGTAGTTATCAATATACACAAATGTATCAGTTTATTTGAGAATCCTTATAAAACTGAAAGATATAAATGTAATGTTTATTTAATCAACAGCTAATGTTGTTAATCGCTAATTCGTGAATAGTCCGCTGAACTTTTGGCTATTATTTTTTTAAGTTGAAATTATTGGCTATTATTTTATTTGAGCCAGTGTGAGCCCTGTACCAACAGCTATAATTAAATATTTTATAAAGAAAATATAAGAAATGGCAAATTATATTAAACATACCAGCATCTGGCAAATGGCCAACTTCTTGTTTGTAATAATCAATGTCATCATCTTCATCAGCAGGTACTGAAATATATAAATATCGCAAATTTTTTTATATTTTCTTTTAGATGAGTTTGAAGTCAAATGACACTGAAAGACTACATGGTGACATTCCAACTTTACAGATGGAGGGAGGCCATATATTTCCATCAACACATTTTTTCAAGCACAAACTGGCACATAAATAGTATGACATTTACCATAGACTAATTTTCAAATTTTTGCTGTCTTAGGTGTCTCAGGAAAAAACAATGAGTTATTTTAAATGATTTTATCAGATAAAATAAGACTTCTGGTTAGACAAAGACATGAATTGTAACTTTTGATTTTTGAAATCCTTTTCAATTTTAAATAAATTTTTATTACACAATCTTACACTTAGCTGTATAGATTGAACAGTTTATGATCCACTGTTCTTTATGATATAAGCTTAGTAGGTACACCGTGTAACTGATCAACACCTTGAATTATTTGTCTTATCTATGAAAAACAGTGCTAGGTTACATTGATTAATCATCATAAAATGTACAATTCCCTTTCTCCTCCATGTTTAAATTACTACAGGGTACCATAATGGAGAGAATTTTAAACCAAGGAGTCCGGAATATAGTGTTTTCTCAATTATGCACTAACAACAAACAGGTATATGATATATTGGATAAATTCACAGGCCTGCAGTGAAGAAATAACAACATTCATAATGGTTAAGATCTACAATCAATCAGACAGGTTGTCCGCATTTTAAAAAACATGATAAATGTTTACTCCTAGTGTCTTGTTGACATAATATCAATTGATGTCCATGGCCGAGTGCTTCAGTATTACATTTGGTAATGATGTTTAACATTGGCAATCAGACACAATTCCATCAACTTTTGACTTCCAATCTAAAAAACCCAGCAAACTGACGACGCCAATATAAAATATACAGTTATCATATTTCTTACAATGTAACCGTATTCTAACCTTACCTAATGTTTCAGGCTGTTCTACTTCATCCTCCATGTTTTTTCTCCTGATACCCTCTAAACTCTTCTCTTTATGTTTCTCCTTCTCAAGTTGTTTTTTCTGTATATTTGCTTGTTGATTTTGGCGTCTTGTCTCCTTCGCCTTCCTGTAATCAGAAAAGTCGTGGTATTGAGAAATGATCATTAACAAACTTGAAATACTTGTTTACTACCAAGGGAAAGTTAATTCTGTCAAAAAGTTTTGCAGAATTATGCCACCTTTTTTACTTTGATCATCCTACCCAGCACTGAAAAAAGAGGATCATGCTGTTCCCCAGAAAACTCTTGTAACATATTATGTCAAAATTGTATGTTTATATATATATATATATATATATATATATGCATGTAACATTACTGGCATATTACTGTGTGAAATCAGAACAAAGAAAGTGGGTATTTTCCTATAAGGAAAATATTTGCCCAACTTCCAATAGGCTGGTTTTTGTTAAACAAGGTTAAGAATTCCTCCAAAAATAGTGAGGAGCAAACGTGAGGAGCACCCTCATATAAACTTTTAGTAGCAATTAAAACTTGTTTCTTTTTCTTCATTCAAAAAATACTAAAAATTAAAATTACACAGAATCTCAATTTCTTATTTTCATGTATATAATAATTCTTACTTCTTTTTTTCTCTCAAAGCTTTCATGGCAGCAAGTTCGGCCTCTGTCTTTGTTATCAGACTGTGATACATGACCTGACCCTCACATATACCTTCTTCTATCTTTATCAACTCTAATTTCAATCGTGGCCCCAGTTCTGTCAATCTATAATGTTACATAATATGCTGATATATCAACAATTTATAATTCATGTTACTTCTTGAAAATTTTCAAATAATGTTTCAACACATTGCCTTCAGACTGTCATCAATTTGTTTTTCTAATTATGGTAAAATAGGGTATATTATAGGAGTATTTCAATCTAGGACCTTGTATTTGATCTGAGTGAGTTTCTAAAAGGCTAGGATCTCATCAGGCGTGGAAGCGCCAAGTGTGATATGTCAAGTAAATTCCAGGAGAGATGAATACAAGCAAAAGATCAAGCTACGCCTATAGTAACCCTTCTAGTACATACCTTTAAACTAAATATTAAATAATAATGTAATTGGCATAATGCCAGAAACATCATTCCAAAACACACTATAGTGTGAAACAGACTTTGTATTACAGGTATAATGGGGCATCAAACTAATAATCCTTAAATAGAAGATATTGAATGAGTGCAAGTTCAATACTGAATTTATTGCACAAGTTGAATAAAATTATATAATAAAATTATATAATGCGAGCCTCTGGCGGGCATATTTTATTCAACAAGTGCAATAAATTTAGTAATGAACTTACACAAATTTAATATTCTACTTATCACATACCCAAAATAAAGACCGTTTAAAGTGAATTAAGTCATTTTTCATTGACGCGCCTGTAGTATAATGCTAACATTTAGCGCGTCTGTACACTATGTTTGCATAGCGCTAATGACGTCACGTAAAAATATTTATGCACCGCCGTGCAATACCATTTTCACGGAGTCGCAAAATCGGCACGGGTGTGTGATAATATCTACAAACAAAAATTGAAGACTTCACACCTACATTTCAATGTTCAATCCATACATCCAAAATTGAAAAAAGAAATATGTGATCAATGTAAAATTAATAAATACCTGACAGCACTCTTAGCAGACTTGATATTTCCTCTGCTCTTTATCTGCTGAGGTAAAACCACTTCGTTCACTGGGCCGTCTAATTCTACCTCACTCTCTGAAGAGTATCCAGCTCTGTAATGAAATAACACATGTTACTATAGTATACTTCCTGTCTGCAAAACTCAACAAACTACATGAACTTGTATATTGATGGCTAAATGATAAATGACATCTCTTACAGTATAAATGAAGGAAAGATCAAATTTTAAACCTGAAAAGTCTACCATGGCATGTCTCTTAACATAAAATTTTATTAGTAAGGTATTAATCTATTATAGACATCTTGGAAATGACATGAAAAAATCATTATTAAATTGGAAAAGGTTAAAGCAAGAAAGTACATGTATATGCGGAATCTGACGACCCAAATAAAAAATTAGGAGTTCATTGTGCATTTCCCTATTTTTATAAAGTACCTAGTTAATTTATTTTCAAATAGAGAAGTTAATTTTTTTTACCTGTTCATATATTCGCTAATGTCCCCATATTTGGCAAGATTAGGAATCTTTGCCTGCATTATTTTCTTAACTCCACGAGTCATTCCAACAGGAACTACTTTGATGTTACTAAAAATAAACAAGATATTTCTTTATAACCATCATCTGTTGAACAATAATTTATTATTCTTAATATGAAAATTAAACGGTAACTGTTTCATAGTCTTATAACAGATATTCAAATACTGAATTCTAATAACTGTGCTGAAATGCCAGTGCTGTACAAATGATATTAGACATACTCTTTACAAAAAAGCACAAAATGTTTGTTGGTTTTAAACCCATTTTGACACATTTTTTGTTATATCTTGACACTCAGATCACATTACTGGCTTTCTTATTACCAATATCTCTGCAAATGACCAACTTGAACTACTTATCCCATATACCATATAATTTCTGAATCAGCTGTGAGAGACACATGACCATAAGATATTAAATGTCCTAAATCAATTGTCGCAGAGAAATTTCATAACGCCTTGGGATGAAACCACGCTGGACTACAGATCAAATGGTCTCCCTATTGAGCTAAGCAAGTGGACAGATGACTAACAAACTTACAAGCACCTGATGTATACAGTAGTATAATACATATATGTATATCCTCTCATAGATTTTAATATAACAGTGTTAACCATATAAATGATTTACAGTAATACTTACTAATGTCTGAAGTCTATCAAGTTTGTGTCTGTATCAAAGCTGACTAAAACACATCTCCTGACATCATTTAATTTCACCTGTAATCAATTAGACAAGTAAAGAACATATGGTGAGTATACAGTCAGAGTAATATTATACAATAATGAATATCTGACAGTCTATATCTAAAGGTATCACTTCTTTGTTATTGTTTGGCTAAATTTAAAGTCCAACTGATATTAATAAGATCAGACAAGGCAGACTATCCAGATTTTAAAGGTGAAGGGAGACACCAAAGTTAGAACTATCTTTTATTCAGACAACCAGATACTAGTAGCTTTCCTGTAAGGAAAAATTTACTGCTGTTGCCTGAAATAAAACCCAAAATGGTCTAAGATGCGAATGATTTGAAATCATCAATGTAAACTCTTGGCTAAAAAGCCTGTTTCCGTGTAAAATTACTCACTGTTACACAACACAGCATAATGCTTTCTAAAGTGTTTCTTGTTTTCAAGTTACGAGAAAAAATGACAATTTTGCCGGTAAAGAGCAACCATTGTATATCAGTTTTAAATTTAGTAATGTTTAATGCACATACTTAACTACCTGTACAAAATATATTATAGTTAAGCTATTATTATATTTTAATAACTCATTGATAACTTCAAGCATTATTACCATTAAATGATTACATATGAAAACTGTGAACTTTAAATAACTCATTACATATCATAATGTTATATTCTAAAATACTTCAGTAAAACAAAACGCACTTAAAAATATCGCAGGGAAGAATATTTAGTTACACTATTTAATGTTCAGTTCATAATTCAATCAGCTTACCTTATGTACATTTATAGAAGGAAACATATTCTGAAACATGGTTGCCATTAATTTGACATGATTTCCAGCACCACTGAAGTTATTCATTACAAGAAGTGGATGATTTAGGAACTGGATCTGTTCAAGATTTGGTTTCCGTAGTGATGATATCACATCTTTACTGAGGCAATAGTCATGAACCTTGAATGTCAATGTCGGCCCACGAGGAAGCCTACATAATCTAAGGTACACACCAACGTCTGTTTTTGTGAACATGACAAAATGTGACACATGCAAAAATCCTGCCACACTCACAAAATCTTTAAGTACATTCTTTCTTTTGACCTACAAAAATAGACAAGTTAAGCACATGCAGATTATTTTAATACATAGCAAAAACATAATTATGGTACAATATATCTTTAAAGTTTTGATCTTTACAAAATTTGTGCTGATTATTAAAGTACCTATATTTGTGATTTTCAAATATCATAATAAATAGTTTATGAAAAAATTAGACTAAGTGGAATTACTTGCATTGAAATGATTTCAAACAAGCTAATAGTATGCCTGTAGAAATTTGTATTTTAAATTGTTAAATTAAAGACCCTACAGCAGCCTGTAGGTAAGACCTGTATTTCGTAAATTATTATGATAATAACTTCATGTAATAAAGTGTTTATTATTATATTTATTATTATTATTACATTATCATATTATATAATTTATTATACCTGAAGATTCTTAGCTGTGAAAGGTTCCATAACATTTCTTGTGTCAATAACCAGTTGTTTAACATTTCTCCCAACATGTCCGCGATGGAAGACAAATGAATGAGGTGCATCCTGGTAACTCTGTTCCTGAATGTCAATCTTAGATGTCTTCTTCTTCTTACCCTGTAAATAGAATTCGCATAATGAAGAGCCGTTTTCATACAAAATGGAAACTTAAGGGCAAGATGTTGTTCCATAATAAAGGGCTTTTTTCCTACACATTGGAAAGAGCCAAGGCTTTAGCCTTCCATTTTGAGAAACTCAAGGGCAAGGTGTAGTCAAACTGGGATAAGGCTGAATGTCATTTAAACAAGAGTAAAAGTATATATAAGACTGAACTAAATTCAATTTATTTAGAATTCGTTCAAGCGTTATATTTACTAGAAAATCTGCTTAAATATATTGGTCAAGTGTAGCACAGCACTACTAACAATTTTAAGTTTTTACATCTCTGATTTCGAAAATAAGCTCTACCTACATAAAGTTCTATGTTAACTGTTTAGTACAAATTACATTCAGCAGCTTGCATATAAGCAACTGATCAAGTTAATATCGCAATATGCATTTTTAAAAATTCTTATACTTATTCACCATACATGTACTTTCAGGAAGCACAGCCAAAAACAACATTTCTTCCTGCTGTAGTTAAATCAAGGTGAGGACCCAAACTCATTAAACTTTGATAGCAGAATGATCACAATTATATATAAATAAGAGTTGCTTAACTAGAACTCCGCGAGTCGGATGGGTCGCCTTGTGAACAATGTAGTTTAGGAGAAATGGCCAGGACAAAAATGAAATATGAAAAATAACAAAGGGCAATAACTTAAAAAATAATAAGTGCAGAGCAGCAGTTTCTGTGCACTGCACTTCTTATCAATAAAATCTATCATTCTATGATGTTTCAAGTCCATAGCTTTCATACTTGAGTAGAAATGACCAGGACAAAAATAAAGTAAGAAAATTAACAAAGGGCAATAACTCAAAAAATAAGAAATGCAGAGTATCAGTTCTTATGCACTGCACTTTCTCTTAATGAGATCTATCATCCTATGAAGTTTCAAGTCCATAACTTTTATACTTTCGGAGAAATGGCCTGGACAAAAATTAAGTATGAAAATTAACAAAGGGCCATAACTCAAAAAATAAGAAATGCAGAGTACCGATTCTTGTGCACTGCACTTCTTCTTAATGAGACCTATCATCCTATGAAGTTTCAAGTCCATGGCTTTTATACATTAGGAGAAATGGCCCGGACAAAAATAAAGTATGAAAATTAACAAAGGGCAATAACTCAAAAATGAGGAAGTGCAGAGTACCGGTTCTTATGCACTGCACTTCTTCTTAATGAGATCTATCATCCTATGAAGTTCAAGTCCATAGCTTTTTTAGTTGAAGAGAAATGGCCCGGACAAAATTAAAGTATGAAAGTTAACAAAGGGCAATAACTCAAAAAATAAGAACTGCAGAGTACCGGTCCTTGTGCACTGCACTTCGGGTTATTGAAAGAACCATGCATACCAAGTTTGAAGTCAATCAGACTTATAGTGACTGAGTTATGCTCCGGACAAGCTTTAGGGGACGCCGACGCCGCCGACAAAAGTAACCCCTATATGTCACCTTTTCAAGGCGACACAATAAACTGGTACATTAAACAAGCATTTTTGGGACATGTCCAAGACAAGTACACATTGCAAAAGGACAAGTGAAAATTCTAAATTGCTCGTCCTGCAGGATATATGTTGCTTTCATCCTAGTCCTATAAATATGACGTCGCTTTGAGATATTTTTGCTTCTGGGCAAAGCAACGTCATATCGAAATTGCTCAAAAACCCATAGCATGTTCCGCCAGAAAATCGGGCGGAACGAAAAACAATGAAGACAGCTTGTATTTACATAATTTTTGACCTATTTATGAACAAAACTAAAAAATAAATACCTTTTGTCAAAATAATTAAACTGTCATAACCGAAAAATCATGATTAAATCCTCTCATGTATTTCAATTCCTTTTACAGCCGATAAACAAATGGCGGCCGTAAAGTGCGCGAAATCTGATTGGCTAATTCAAATGCAAGTGTTTAACTGAGTCAGAACAATCTAACGGAATATTTTTTTAACGAAATAATTGCCCATGCACCGTCAGTGTGTTCGAATATATTTTTCCGTTCAAAAATTTGGAATCAATCTGTAAAGCACTTTGCTTAACCAGTATGGCTGATAGACATATATAGATTGATGTTTATATTTTATTTTAAATTGATAAGTACATCGTTTGAAAGTTTTTGTGTATGATTGAGCATGAAATTGAAAGAAAATATGATAAGCTTTTGAATAAAGCTTGAAAGGCAAGACAATAGACATTTTTGGATTTTTTTATGATGCTATGCGATTTTGAGCAATAACTATTAGACGTCAGGCTTGACCGACAAAAACTATAACAAGCCTGTAACGTCTAATATATTGGACTACGGATTGTCCCAGATAAAACTATGGAAATCACTGTGGAAAAACAACAACACTATTTTGTTAACAAAAGATACAAAAATTCCTGAGAAACTTGGTAGAAACACCCATCTTTGCCTCAATGTGTTAATATATAATCTCCTCAGTTCCAATGCAATGGCACGATTATGTTAACTTGAGGTACAAAAATCCAAATAGACAGATAGAAATTGATATCACTTTGAGTCGCGAAATTATATTACAAAAGGCATTGTTTATACTTGGGACATCATTCCTTCCAAATTATCGCATATCAATTTGATAAAAATTAAAAATGAAAAATACCTTTCTCCTCTTAGCCATTTTTGACTTCTCAAATTCTTATACTATGAAAATATAAGTAGTGTTTTTGTAAGACATGTGTTTACTACGGTGTCACTACAATTATCATCAGTGGCAATTTATCCTTCCTACTTGGCATTTGTGCACTCGGAAACAGCGTTTTATCTGCTGTAAGTCAATTCAAATTTTAAACCTGTTAGAGATTATGACATTTAAAAACATTTTATAGAAATTTCACTCGTGTTTTTTTATGTTTAATTCCTATTTATTGTAGAAAATGCATGGTAGGTTGTGAAAGGGTTTCGGGTATAAACTTTCGGATAAACATTAAATCATCTTCTACATTATTTTTTCAGAATGTTACTTATTTTCTTTAACAGTATATTTTTAGCAATATATATTAATGGTACAAGATTCACCAGAATACGTAAGCAAATAAATGAAATATGCCCCAAAAACACGATCTTCGGCCGAGTTTATCTCCCAAACCAGTACTGACAAAGTTTTGTTGAAATTTGTTCATTGGAATGTTTGAATTTTGAGGTACACATACATATTTTATAGATTTGTTTTTATTTCCCAATACCAAACATAAAGACACATGCAGAAATTTTGTTTGTTCGTAACTGCATGCTAAATTTATATCATCATTCAGGCAGGAGTATCCCAGTGTAACCTAAATTCGGCGATATAAGATATATTATACAGAGCTCTTGAAGTGTCAAATTTATTTCTTCAAAGCACCATAATTTTCAAAAATTATTTTTTCCAGAGCCCAAGTTTATTTTTTCCAGAGCCTAAGTTGAATCAAAAGTATTTGCAAAAACTGTTGAAGTATTTTTAATTTAATAAACTGAAAGTGCATGTCTTATTGAAAATTGATTTTATCTATAAAACATGTCCACAGGGCAAAAAAGTGTAATTTGATTTGCTTGTTTTCTGAATAATCTATGAGTTTCCTAAATTATGTTTGAGTTATAAACTTTAATGCATGGAGAGTCTTTTTCATGATTTACCCATGGATAAATTTAATTACAAGACCACTACACAGAAGTATTGGTATTGAATTTATTCACAATTGATAGTCTGCCTTGGCTGCTCTAGCCTAAGATGATCATGAAAGTTACAATTTGTCTTATGACTTTTGGTAGTGATTTTGGCTTTAACATGACAACCAACAGCCTTGTCTTTTCATTTATTCAGATGCACCTTTTGCCATACATGTACTGTATTATTGATTGTTGTTAACGGATACATGTATCTCTCTGTCCTTAGTAAATGACGTAATTAAGGCAATTTATATGAGATAATTAGTGTAAGATTCTTGCAGAGTGACAGTCTTCTCCTAATTAAATTGTCTGAACATAATGTTATGAACATTTATCTATGTATTTTTTGTATAATTATGGCATTTTAATGATACGATTACTGATCAATCTGCTGTTCATTGCCAGTGATTTTTTTCACTGTATTTTATAGCCAAATAAAGGCTGTTTCCCCTAGCCCAAAATAGGTAGATTTTCCCCTAAAAATGCATATATTTTCCCCTAAAATGCCTTGTGCTTTTCCTAACCAGAACCATGACTTATCAGCATCAGCTAGAAGACAGAAATCTGTCCCTATAGATAGCCTCTGCTATGTACCATGCATGTTAAGTTGAATTGAAATTAATTTTTGTCATAAAATGTGTGGGTAAATTCCATTTTCAGTTGTTGGAATTTGATTTCAAGTTTCCCCCTTTTCTGATTTATCGTGTTATATTTTCCCCTTCAGAAAGACACAGGTTGTTTTGAAATTTTGAAAAGAATCACTGATTGCATGCCATGATAGGACTACACTCCTTGTCCTGTTCTTTTAATGAATGCCTCAGCTTTTGGCAAAGACAAGTGCACAGATGTTTAATGAACAGTAACTGTTTGAATCTGGATATATTATAGATAATGCCAGGATAAGATATGCTATGTGAAAACCGTACCTGCTGCATCACTGGTCATGTGACGTGATAATTATTCAAATTTTGTTTAAATACCAACTTTGTCATTAACTAGATATTATGAAGTGATTTAATTATTTTAAAAGGTTTAAAAGATGAACAAAAAGTGTTTTGCAAAAATTGATTTTTTTGTAATTTTTTTATTGCAATAAACGAAAATGTAGTATATTTCTACAAGTTGTCTTAATTGCTGTTTTAAGTTTGTAATACAATGTACTTATTAGTTCAATTCATCTGTGGAAATCAACTAAATAATATAAGAATAAAAATCATTTCATGTTATTAAATTCAGCTTCTATGAGGTGTCAAAATATCAGGATATTTCACATTTTTTGAGTTTTATAGGAAATTTTATATCTTACTTAAGTAGACAAACAGGACATGTAAAATACAAAATTTAAATAAAATTGTTTTAAAGTAATGTAAAGTTTTTGCAAGGTTGTTCTACGTTGACTGTTGATCATGTATCATTTACTGTATTGTATCATGTTCAATAATTATACATATGCAGTCTGCTCTTCACCATTGATATGCTTTTTACACAGTCTCTATCATTTTCTGTTATTATCTTTTATGATTTTTTTTTCAAAAGTATATCTGTATTTTCAAGCTGTCATTAATTCAGTCAAAAGCATATTGACGATATATCAACAGTCTATCAAGTTTTACATAATTATACTATTATATGTTTTTATGTATCTATATTTCACTTTCATACCAAATTCTATGGTTTCAGTAAAGTACATGTTCTATGCATACAATTACGATGTGCATTGTTTATAAATGTCCTAGATGTATGTTTTTGTCTGACCATTTATGTCCATTATGTAATGACCTTGTACTTTTAAGTGGGCACCTGCTTCTGTATATGCTTTGGGTAACAAAAAAAAACAAAACAAAAAAAACATTCCAAATGTCAGCTACAAAAACCACCGAAATTTTCTTCAGCATTTTACTACATGATAAGTATGAAATATTTCATATAAATACATTATTGTTTCGTTTCATTTATAATTTTGTTTTCTTGTTTTCAGATAGATATAAAAGAATGGCAGATAAACAGAAGGTAGTGATGAAGGTGGATCCTTTCAAGTTGTTCCTGTATCTGTCACTTGTCGGGTTCCTTACATTGATGTTTGTCGGGTACACGGTAAGTCATTGCAATATGTTTTGATTTGTTGTAATTACCTTATTGATACAAGAATATACCTTTAGTTTAACATGAATCTATTGGTGTATTTAAATTAAAGGACTTTATTATTCTTTTAGAATTACATTGACTTTCTTCTATACTCATCCACTTGTTACTCTTTATTTGAAGGCATCTACCAGGTACATATCAAAATTCTAAAGTATCATAACAGCTGTTGCTTAGCAATATGTGATGTTATCTTCATATCGCAAAAATCTTCAAATATGTATAGAGGATATTGAATGAGTGTAATTTTAATACTAAATTGATGGAACAAGTTGAATAAAATCATATTATGCGAGCCTCTGGGAGCATAATATTGTTTTATTCAACGAGTTCAATAAATTTAGTATTGAATCTACACGAATATAATACTCTATTTATCACATAATATAAAATAAGAACGGTTTACTGTTAAAAAGCGTCATTTTTCATGTTTTCATGTCTATGTTTATATATAGTGCAAATGACGTCACGTCAAAGTGTTATTATACTAGTGTAATATCGTTTTTTAGCTCGACTTTTTTTTTTTGAAATTAGCTCGACTTTTTTTTTTTGAAAAAAAAAGTAGAGGTATTGTTATAGTCAGGTCGGCGTTGCCGTACCCGTTGCCGTTGCCGTTGCCGTCCGAAAACTTGTACCTGGATCATAACTTTTTTATTTCTTGGTGTATTGTCTTCATACTTGGCCACAACAACCCTTGGGACAAGACCTTTCAGTAGACCACACTAACCTTGACCTTCATCCATTAATGACCTTGACCTTCAAGGTTAAAAGTCAAATTTTTGCTTGTTCATGGTGTTATTGGCTGTTACTTTGTTATTTTTGAATGGATTGTCTTCAAACTTGAACATAATAATCTTCAAGGATATCCCTTAAAAATAAACAGTCAGACCTTGACCTTCACTCATCAATGACCTTGACTTTGAAGGTCAAATTATTGAAATTTTCATTTTTTTGGCTATTTTTGGCTGTAACTTTGTTATTTTTGAATGGATTGTCTTCAAACTTGAACATAATAATCTTCAAGGATATCCCTTAAAAATAAACAGTCAGGCCTTGACCTTCACTCATCAGTGACCTTGACTTTGAAGGTCAAATTATTGAAATTTTCATTTTTTTGGCTATTATTGGCTGTAACTTTGTTATTTTTGAATGGATTGTCTTCAAACTTGAACATAATAATCTTCAAAGATAACTGTTAAAATATACCGAAAGACCTTGACCTTCACTCATTAATGACATTGCCTTTGAAGGTCAAATTATTGAAATTTTCATTGTTTTGGCAGTAACTGACTGTAACTTTGCTATTTTTGAAGGGATAAACTTCATATTATAACAGAACATTCTTAAGGATCAGACCTTGTTGTTTATCAAACCCAAATTTGCTTGGGCTCTTTAATGACCTTGACCTTGAAGGTTATATTACTGAATTTTCTCAGATTGTGCATTAATTGGTGTGTGTGTATGTATAGTATATGTATTATATATATATATATATATATATATATATAAATGTGTGTGTGTATATATATACATATATGCAGGTATATATATATATATATATATATAAATATATATATATATATATATATATATGCATGTATATATATATACAAACACATTCCTCCATTTACGGGGCATCGGTCTATTTGAGACCATACTTGTGGGGTGTATATTTAATGTGGGGCATACATAAGGCCTCGCAACTCTGGCATGTTTAAAACGATGTATGGGGGCGTAGGCTACCCTTCTAACATAGTGCCCGTAGGCCGGTTTTAGTAGTAAATGAGAAAGCTACGGCAAATTTAAATTAGCGTTTTTGCTTATATACGGCAAGTTAGAGATTTTACTTATATATATATATATATACATGCATATATATATATATATATGCATGTATATATTTACACCCATACACATATATATATATATATATATATATATAGAAATTGCGTCATTTTTTCTATTTTTAGAAATTGCGTCATTTTTTTCTTCTATTTTTAGAAATTGCGTCATTTTTTCTATTTTTAGAAATTACGTCATTTTTTCTATTTTTTGAAATTGCGTCATTTTTGTCTATTTTTTGAAATTGCGTCATTTTTTCTTTCTATTTTTAGAAATTGCGTCATTTTTTTTTATATTATTAGAAATTGCGTCATTGTTGCTATTTTTAGAACTTGCGTCATTTTTTTCTATTTTTAGAAATTGCGTCATTTTTTCTATTTTTAGAAATTGCGTCATTGTTGCTTTTTTTAGAAATTGCGTCATTTTTTTTCTATTTTTAGAAATTGCGTCATTGTTTCTATTTTTAGAACTTGCATCATTTTTTTCTATTTTTAGAAATTGGGTCATTTTTTTCTATTTTTAGGAATTGTGTCATTTTTTCTATTTTTAGAAATTGCGTCATTTTTTTCTATTTTTAGAAATTGCGTCATTGTTGCTATTTTTAGAAATTGCGTCATTGTTGCTATTTTTAGAAATTGCATCAATTTTTCTATTTTTAGAAATTGCATCATTGTTGCTATTTTTAGAAATATGCTTAATGTTTCTATTCATATATATACAAAATATATAAACAAAACTAATGTGACAAGACAGACCAACTAAATTTATAAAAAGGAAACGTCAATATATGTTCAAACCTTTCTATGTTTGGGTTTAGAAAAAGTAAAAAGTCGAGCGTTGCCCCCGCCCGGCGGTGGCTCTTGTTATTACATGGCTTTATAACACTCCTGCGCCGCGGTTTATGTGATAAATTGTACAAAGTATGTACAATTTTGCCAATGTGTATATTATACATGTATGTTTGTAAAAAAAAGCTTGCCTTTAATAGTGATGGCTTCATTTAAGAAGAAAATATATTCATAACTTCTTGACACTGATCATTGTTCTTTAGTGTAATGAGATGGCAGATGCTAAAATAATTTTTATTGAAGTAAATTTGCAGATTTTGGAGTTTATATTGAAAAGTGATGCAACTTAACCTTTTACCCCATGAGCATAAATTATTGTGAAAAATTGCCGTTTTCATTGAAAAGCCTCCTGTTACAACTTCTATGATACTATGAAAAATGCTTCAACACTGATAAAACTTGGCACAAATGTTGACTAGACCATAGCCTCTGTAACAGCATGCTCAATCGTAAATTTCCTGTTACCATGGCAATGGGAGGATGTCTCAAAATTACCAAAATTCACTATTTTGCATTGTTTTTTTCCATCAAAACTGATTTCAAAGTGCTGAAACTTCTCAATGAATTGAAATAGAGTAAAAGGCTTTTCAGAGTCAGTTACTAGTTGCCCTAAGATCGTCCTGAGGCCATGTTTTGCCTGTCACATGTCCAAATTTTTCTTGGCGATGAGGGGGACTACCACCCCCTTCAAACCCCCCAAACAGGGGGGGGGGGAAACCCCCTGATGTACCATTTGAATGGGGGCAGCGCCGAAAAAGTGGTCACTTCTTTAACAACATTTCTCAAACGAAAAACAGTGTTTGGGGCATAAATAGGGCATTTTTTCACAGTTTGAGGCCTCAAAAAGGGGGGAGGGGAAGCCGTCAAAATACATCTATATGAGGGAAAAGGTTAAGTTTCAAATCTAGAGTGTTTTTGTGTTGCTGTATTTTTTTTATTTATTTTTTTAATTGAGAGATTCATAACTCAAAATTTTAAAATTGACACATAAAAAAGTATAATAAGAATGTATGCATGGTCCATTGGTTACACACTCTGGCTGTAAATACAGGGATTGTGAATCTGATCGTCTGCTACTCAAGCTGAAATTACTGATAACTTTTCATACAAGCCTTTAGACCATAGGTAAAATGTGCTGTTCATCTGTAAGTCTTTTCATGCTAAAAAATATAAAATTGACTTATCCATCTTTCACTTTTGACAAAACTTATTTCATGGAAAGGTTTAAAATATATACTGACTGAAAAGGAAACAGTGCAGATCATGAACTGACAGCACTGATGTGTCTGCTGATCTTGTTCCGCTCTGTATACATGGGTAAATTCAGCTGCTGCCAGTAGGCTAAGTGCCAAAGAATCTATGATTATTCCTGAAACTGTTTGTTCTCTTGCTCTATTCTCCATATTAAACATAAAACTAACATTCAGATGAAATTCACAAGTTGAGGTAAAGAAAAAAACAAAAAAAAACAAAGGAACTTTAAAACTGTAATTTGATATGAAAGATTTTCAAAAGCTGCTGATTGACTGTATACGCTCAGCTATTCCATTAGAAGATATCATCACCTTAGTGCAATAACTGGTTAACTCCTATCAAATTTAGAAGGACTTAACTCATAAGTATGATTACTGCACTAAGGTGACAATATGTGTATCAGTTTACATTTAAAACATCAATAGATTAAATGAGAATTCATAATTTAATTAATGAGGTAATACTAACTGTTTGAAGTGGTGCATACAGCTAGACTTGCTAATTAATTTATTTATAATCAATTTGTTTACATACAAATTTATTAAGGAAGCAAATATGACAGTCACTAGACGGTTACATAATCAAAACTAAATGACATATATTATTTATGCCATGACGATCATAAAGATTAACTTTAAGTAGATCAAATATTAATGAATAGGCATGCATACAATTGAACATTACTGAAATGAATACTTTTCGTATGTAACATTCGTGATTCTACTCAGGTGCCGTTTATGCCTGAAATAATGCACTTAGTATATGTATGTAGATCTAGTGTACATGTATGTCTGCTGAAATGCATTACTTCTGAATTTTGAATATATAATAATCGGCTACGTATTGTGGTTTTTATGTTTGATAATTTCTCTGTAAAATTATGATATATCATTCACTGTTGTATTTTACTTATTTATTGAAAACCGTGTAGTTATAATAATGAATAATTGTGTGTAGGTGATAAAGTACTACCTTGTGTATAGATTGCATTAATCGTTTTCAATATGATATAGAAATTAAAAAATTAACTTAAGGTTTATAATAGATTTATTATAACTTCTTTACCCCAATTATATTTATAAAGATCTTTGATTGTCAATGATTATTTCATAATGATAGGGATATTGGTTGATTTCAATTTTTTGACAATTTTAGTAACCAAGGTTGTCTGACTGGTTAGTTTTCTTAATGCACATGAATGTCCCTTTTTTTTAAGGAGATACGAAAGCATTTATTGCAGCACTAGTATTATTTGTTCTGTAGGGTTATGAATTAAAAGCGTTGCAACTTGGATTCACCCTATGTAGTGTTACCTAGATTGAAATGAAAGCCTATTTAAAAAGATTGCGTGTTTGAATCCCAACAGGGACTTTTGAATCCACATGTCAGGAAGCTATCCAGCTACATGTAGCTTATGGAATGTCAGGTTCCTGAGGTTTTAAAGCTGGAAAGTTGCCATAAAAACATTACTGTGTTGGTGTGATGTAAAGATAAAAAAATGCTGGCCTGAGGTTGATGGTATATTTTAGATAATGTCAGGTTGTAATTATATTTTAATATAAGGTTGATATTATATATTTTAGAAACTATCAGGTTTTTGCGTATTTTACTGTCAGGTTGTTGTTATATTTGAGCCGTGTCATGACAAAACCAACATAATGCGTTTGCGACCAGCATGGATCCAGACCAGCCTGCGCATCTGCGCAGTCTGATCAGGATCCATGCTGTTCGCTATCAGTTTCTTTACTTGTTATAGGGTCTGTAAGCGAACAGCATGGATCCTGATCAGACTGCGCGGATGGGCAGGCTGGTCTGGATCCATGCTGGTCGCAAACCCATTATGTTGGTTTTGTCGTGACACGGCTCATTTTATATATTGTTAAGGTGTTGTTATATTCCAGATGCTGTCAAGTGACCACTATGAAGATAATGATTTTACCCTTCCAGGTGTGTTGTTTTATAAGTACATTCTAATCATGAATGTCATGTTTGATATTTGTTTAAAAGTTGAAATATTGATATTAACCCCGTGAATGTTTGCATACTGGGTAATCCCGGTATGCTCTACTTCAAGAACTAGGACTGTCCATTATTTGTTTAAAGTTAATAGGTCTACAATTGGCCACATTTTCCATAAGTATTTCAAATATTGATAAAAACTATACTTTCATGTTTTGATGTTGAAATCCCATAAATTTTGTTTGTACTGTTCTTTTAAACTAGCAGGCAAATTCATTATACTAATTAACAAGGTTAGCAGGTTAAAGGCATTTATGAAATGAAAACAGGAACCTTATGTATCTTTATCATTAAGTTTTTTTTTTTTTTATGTAGAATATGTAGATTCACATGATGATACAAATGCAGCGTTACGTGAACACATCTCTGACCCGATTATATTATGGTGGACACCGTTCACCGGAGATCCTGGCTCGTACAGGAAATGTGGTGAAAACACTTGCTACTTCACTGTTGATAAACATTATTACAGACATAAACAAACAAAGGTATCTACATGTATTTATTATTGTAATTTAAGGTATTACCACCCAAATGCATTACCTCAGCTTTGAAGAATATTCAAATAGGCTAGAACTACTGCTACATTAAAGATGAGGGCCGTGGGTTCAATCCCCAGAAGGGTCAATTTTTTTTTTTTTCTTTTAACATTATTTATGTATCTCTCATGTCCCATTTGGAAAGAAAAAAGTGTTTAATTTTGATTTCTTGGTATGTATTGGCTAAATTATGCTAAATCTAGTAATAAATACGGTACCTGATATTTTTAAAGTGTAATAAAATTAAAACTAGATGGTAAAAGTATTTCATATTTTACAAGATCAACCAATATACTTCTTTAAAAATTTAGGGAAACTATGAAAACAGACTCACATTTGGGTAAATTTTAAGGTTTTTTTAAATTAGGCTCCCTAAGTAGGAAAATGGTCAGACACGTGGTAAAAATGGTTGGGGTAGGGTAACATTTTTATACAGATTTCATAGATTTTAAGTAGAAACCATAATTTTGCTAATGTGGATTTTTAGCTAAATGGTCCTATTTGTTTCGTAACAAAAATTAATGGGAAAACATTTTTCATTAGAATGTAATTGCAGATTATTTAAAGGTTCTTCATTTCTAAAAAAGGGCCCTCATAACATCCTAGCTTGAGTTCAGAAAAGTGGCCATAACTTGATTTCCGTACGGTAAACTTTGTTTAAATTTTGCATACAGGTTTACTTTAAGGTATATATCTGACCTATGATGTCAATTTTTTAGTTCCTTATAGTGCCCATTAGCGTGGTAATACCTTAAAAGATCTGTGAAGAAAATATATTTATAGAAATACATGTATGATCTCAAAGAGACCATTTCATGACAAATTTCATATAAAATGAGTTCAATGAAAACAAACACTTTTCTTTAGCTTTCGATGTTTAATCTTATTCAGAAAAAAATGACATTTATAAAATAACACCATTTAACTTTATGCTAAACTTGAAAAAAATGAATTTTTTTTTTATGACATATTATATTTCACAAGTTCAAATAAAAAATTGATGAAAAAAAATAAATGAATTAAATTTCCTTTTTTTTCAAGTTTATTTTATCCAGTGCATTTTAATTACAAAAAAGCAAGACAGAATTCTGTCTGCTTAAGATAATATTGAGAGCATCAGATTAGTACTCCTGGGGTTACTGATTGATCCTGAAGCAAGAGATATTTCTCTATGATAATTGACTTCGGACATTTGGTCTCAATGCCATTTGGCTCTGTTGTTTTAGGTTGGAATTAGTCAATCACTTGCAGAGAAATTGTTGATTACTGTTTGCTTACCTAGGAAAGCGAGTAATGTGGATAAACTGCCACAACATGACCAAAAAAAAAAAAAAAGAGTAAAAATCAGAGTGAACAAAAAAAATCGGAAAGAAGACCAGTTGAAATCTTGGCCAAAAATTTTATTTTTTGAGCCAATGGCAACTTATTGTTGTAATAAATGAAACAAAAACTTTATAAAAATCTTTTATGTTTTCATTTGTTTATTTACGTAGGTATTAATGTTTTATGGGTCAGACCTGAATGTGAAACAGTTACCACTTCCTAGGGAATCTCATCATGAGTGGGCGCTGATGCACGAAGAATCTCCGAAAAATAATTACCTACTCGTGCAACCGGAATTCCTTCAGCTTTTCAACCATACTAGTACATTCAAGCGAGAGTCTGACTTCCCTCTCACGCTACAGTATGTGGAGAGTTTAGCGTGGCTCGAGAGTAGCAAATATCTCATACCAACAGCCGACAAGACAGCGCTGCAGACGGAACTTGCTCCGGTATTCTACGCACAGAGCGACTGTAATGTGCCATCAGATCGTGACAGTTTTGTTCAATCGTTTATGAAATATATGAAGGTAGACTCGTATGGGTCATGTATACACAACAGAGATCTTCCTACACAGTATGTATTTTATTTTTTTGTTTTGATGGTTGTCTTTGTCATATACTGTAGTGACTTGTATGCATTTAAATACTCCTAAAACATAAGAAGTCAGTGAAACTTTACAAATACAGTATAACATTATACCTACTATATGACATGCTAAGTTTCTTGCTTTTTGATACTACATGTATATTGTCATTCGAAAAGAAAAAACTGTAAAGGCATCCTCTCATATACATGTACAGTCAAACTTGTATTAAGCGACCGCGCAAGGGAAACACTCAAAATGGTCGCTTAATGAAACGGTCTCTTAAGAAAAAGCATGATATAAAAGTCAAAATTTACAAATGACATCTTTCTTATGCGGTGGGAATGTTTAACAACTTCATTTTTATATAAATGTTGAATAATTAGTACGCTCGATAATCTGTAAAAAATAACTTTCTGTTATTTATTTACAAAACAGTTTTGATCCATTACGTAGCGGCGTTGTCTAAAAACACAATTACTTGACAGGTAAAAGTGGTCGTTTAATGAAAAGATTGCTCTCAATTAGGTGACTAATTAGCGGTCGCTGGTCGCGTTGAGCAAAAGTCGCTTAATACATTAAAAACATAGAGAGAAAATGATCGGGGGGAATTTAAAGTGGTCGTTTTAGACAAAAGTCGCTTAATACACGTGGTCGCATGGGCAAGTTAGACTGTATGTGTATACATATGTATTTAAGTATATTTTTGTAGGAATAAAATATAAAATTTCAATAAGTTATTATTAAAAACTTTGTCTAGATGCAAAAAAAATATGATGAGGTCCTGATATATAGTAGTGTACAATTTAGAAAAGACCCATCAAAATCAGTGCCAGAGCTTAGAGTAATTTCTATACAACTTGCTCACAAAGATAATGCATAACTTAACTATATGTTATAGCAGAGCTTTCATTTCAGTGTACATGTATGAAGATTGTGATTAAAGAGTCAAGAAAATCAAGTCAATAGAATAAAAACATTGTTTACTAGTATTTGTTTTAGATCATGATCTTTACTCGATTGAGCTTAATCTGTATATTTACAGTTTAGTAAATCCACTGCCAGGCATGGAACATGAGGATTTCTTTCATCTACAGGCCAAGTACAAGTTCTCATTTGCGATGGAAAATGCTGTATGTGATGATTATGTTACGGAAAAATTATGGAGGCCGCTGATGTTAGGGTCTGTGCCTATAATTCATGGCTCACCTAAAATCAAGGTAAAATGCTGCCTTTCTAGCCCAAGATTAAAAATCTTCCTTTCTACTTGTGCTACCTGAAGGTTAAAGGTTAATAAAGGTGTCCCACAGGTTTGTCATGATGATTTGTTGTTAGACATGACTTTTTCAAATAATCTTATGTGGAAAATATTGGCAGTTGGTTGCTTGGAAAAAAAAGATGTGTAACAGATGTAACAGAAGCTAAGTGCTGAAAGTAGAATGTTGTAAACTAGAATTTAACAGTAACAACCAAACAAACATAAACATTTTATTGTCATGAAATTTAGATGTTAAAGTTAACTATTACACAAGCCTAAATTTGATTGAATTTTTCAAACTTTTAATATTGTTCAATTTTTACTTTCACAGGAACTTCTTCCAAACAACCATTCAGCTATTATAGTCAGTGATTTCAAATCTGAGAAGGAACTTGCAGAATATATAAAATACCTCAATAGTAACGATGAAGAATACAACAAATATTTACTGTGGAAAAAGACGGGTGTTACAAATGAACGCTTCCTTAAGATGATGAGGGAAAGATCATGGAGCATCGTAGAAACATGGAAAACTGGCAGAACAAATTTCGTAGAAGATTTTGAATGTTTCGTTTGCAATAGGGTGCATAAAAATTTAAGAAGAAAAGAAGACGGTAAAGAAGAATTGAAATTTGTTGCAGATCCATCGCATTTACAGTGTCCGATACCTGTTAAGTTTTCAACTGGTGGAGGAGTATTCGACTGGGAATATGAACACCAACAAATGGTAGAAATGGCACATGCCGTACGGTATTTTGTGGACAAAAATGTTAAAATGACTAAAGGCGATTTACATGCAAAAATGTCCGAACTTGCGCATCAAAGGAAAGGAGGCTGGTTTTAATGCTAGGTATCTTATCAATTTTAGTCAGCATTCTTACATATCAACTTAAGTTATTACAATGTATGCTTGAAAGATGTACACACAGTACTTGAATGGAAATTTGCGAGATGTCTACGCAACAGAATTGGTTTGATTTTATTATTTAAAAATATCATAATAGTAGCTCTATTACCTCAGTACAAACTATTTCATTATCATATTATAGTGAGCAATTTTATTTTTTCATGGATTATTCATTTTCAGGTGTTATATGAATAATGTAAATATTTTTTTCTTGAAGAAGGTGGATACCGTTTAAAGGATTGCTTTGTATAAGCTTAGAGATGAACATTTCAGCAAATTACCATTTTAGACTTCTCTGTTATAAGCTCACCAGAACCTAAGGTTCAGGGTGAGCTATAAGTATCAAAGGGGGATGCTCCGGTGTCCATCATCCACCGTCCATCGTCATGCGTCAACAATCGTCTTCTTCTCTGAAACTACTTGGCAGATTTACTTCAAATTTGGTGTGTAGCAGCCTTGTGACAGTCACACTTGAATTTGCTCATGTCATTTCATTTGGCCCCTTTTAGGGGTCAACAGAGCTAAAAATAGAAAAACTTTTAAACATCTTCTACTACAAAACTAATTGATGGATGATTACCAAACTTTGTCTGTAGAATTCTTAGAAAGTCTTTTATCAAGTTTGCTCATATTAAAGTGATTGGCGCCCCTATTAGGGGTCTCTATGGCTAAAAATAGAAAAACCTTTAGATGTCTTCTTCTACAGAACTAATGGATGGATGATCACCAAACTTTGTCTGTAGCATTACTGTTGGGAAAAGGCATAAAATGAAACAAACAAACACACAAACAAACAGACTGCTGGAAAGACACTGAAGAGACCTGTTTGGATTGTCTCCCTTGCCCTAGAGAAATACACAAAGTATATAAAAATTAATTAGGGTCCAGCTGCAAAAGGCTTATCAGCATGATAAATGACCAAAAAATCTCCAGCAATGACTCACATATAGTATCTAACACAAAGAGATTTCATATACATGTTTAATACAGAAAATCTGTGCAGGACAATTGCTGGAATATAATAGAATTTGGAATACTTTATGTTTCTATAATATACTTAGATCATAATTTTGAAACTCTTTTACTATATTGGAGTTTAAAATTGTGCAATATGGGTACACCTAAAGTAAGAAGGAGCTACAAAAATAATAAAGCAAAAAAAATCTCAGTTTAAGCCTGGTGAAAAACATGTAAAACATAATTATTGTCATGATCATTATAGTAGTGACTTACCTACTGAAACTGTTGAACAAGTAGTGAGACTTAGTCAGGCAGATGCCATTGATGTAAATCACATAAACCAGAAATAGCAAAAGTGATGATGATGATGATGATGACAGTGTAACTCTACCATACAAACTCGGACAAAAATCTGAAAATGAGATAATAAATGACCAAGTTGTAGAAAATGATGAATGTATTATTGTACATTTAGAAAATTTACGACAATTAGTGTCATTGGTTCGTCAGCAGCACTGCCAAAATCCGTCCGTTTCCCTAAAAATAGTGAGACGACATGGACTTTGTATAAAGCTATCAGTCCATTGCCAGAGCTGCCACTTTCAAAGTGATGCCACAGAAATGTCAAGGCGGATTCCGAGCAAGAGAGGGCCTGGAGCTGCCGAGTTGAATGACAGACTTGCTCTCCCGGTGGCGAAATCCGGAATAGGAATGGATGAGGTGTCACTTATTCCTACCTGTTTGAACATAAAAGCACCTTACTCATCACTCATTCAGAAGAAAGTGAATAAGATGTGCGACAAGGCAGAAGAGGCTGGAGAGGCCCAACTGTTGAAAAATCAGACTACCTTGGCCGTGTCCTGACGATGTCCGGAAAAAAGGGCGCTTACGCTTGTCGACCACAGGTGAGTGGCGAAAAAGCCAATCAAAGCTTTAGTGCAGTGATTGAACATAATACATCAAGGGGTCTTGTACTCTCACAGGCTATGGCTAATAAATTTTGCAAAAAGAGAGGCTGCAACCATTTAAAATGTTCAAAAACATACCCACAGCACGAGTCTATTGCATCTAGTGAAAAATTCTTATTAAATAAAAATTTGGACAAGATTAGAAAATTAAAAAAAATTGAATTAAATTCTATTACAACAGATGCAAGCGCGCAACTCGCAAAGACAATCAGAGACTACAAAACTGAGAAAAAAAAACTTAAACATTATACTTTCATTTTACCTTAAGGTATCACTCCACAGTAAATTTCAAGTTCTTGTCGTCAATGCCCATAAGTAATGTGTCTGATAATTCTGATTCCAAAATACACAACCTGGAAAAAGAAAACATGTTTTGTTGATAACATACAGGTCAAAACATTGCAAATCTATAATGAAATTATCCCATGTGCAATAGTCAGTCAGTAAAAAAAATTGCAATTCAATTCGTTAGAGCCCAAAATCTACTGTGTCACTATGAATAGTCACTATATCCAACAAATCCTCCCTGGCCATTCGAAGCTGTGGCTTCAGTTACTGTGCTACCATAGTCTATGCTCAAATTTGATATTAGAAAATATTGACAATTGATTTTTTCCTACACTGAAAAGCAGTTGTTTCTGGTGAGCGACGCAGGGCCATCATGGCCCTCTTGTCTTACTTTACCATCATTTCCTCTAGCAAGAAACACTGATTGCCTAGTACTGACTATTCTAGGAACAGATTTGAGAGTTTTTCTATAAGCTTATAGCTTCCTGAACTAAAATAAAATTCTGTAAAAACTAACCTTATCATCAGCATTGTGTACATGTATTATTTCCAGCATTTCTCATTATTTTACTCTGAAAATAAAATAACTTTTATCATTTTATCACTAATTGTTCAATAGATTTCTATGCAAACTATATTTTAAAATCGAAATGGTTTAACCAAGACTCTTATGAAATCCAGATTTTAATTTTCTCTAATGTTTGTGTATAGAATTTTTTTTAAATATATTATTTAATGTTCAAGGGGAGAAGAGACAGTTTTAAGCTTTAAACATAAAACTCCTGTTATGCAAACAATTTTTTGTGTTGATTGTGTTTTTGAATGTTTTATCTATTGTGTTTTTGAAAAGTTTCACTATTCTGTTTTTGAACGACTTCAGTTTCTTTGTAAGGAAGAATTATTATAACAATAAGATACAATTTTATCAATTTTCTATATTTACCTTAATTACTTGTAATCCCTTGTTATCATTTTCATGTATATTTGATATGGTCATTGAATTCCTGTTTCATTTGGAAGCTGTTAAATTAATTTGTATGTATGTAACTGACATTGTAATTATTCTGTATTTTTGTCAGTATCTGTTTTGTATATCATGACTCAAGGCTTAAGAGGAACTGCAGCTGGTCTTAGCATAGATTATAAAGATATTAAAGGATCGTTGTCTCCTTTGTTTTATAGATGTATATTAACTACCATATTGCTTTAATTCATTGATAAAATTATGTTGGCAGTATATAAGAATTTACAAATATATATTTACAATTTCATTTTGTGTCCTTAAAGCAGCATGCTTCCAAATTCCTACTAATTTTCATGAAAATCTTGAAAATGGTTTTTGAAGTACATGTAAAATATTGTGAAGTGAGCAAAGAAAGTAACTTCCACATTGCAAATGGGACAGCCACTTACAATCCATGTACTTTGAGCCAGTACTTTGGTATTCATAAAAAATACCAACATTCTCTGAAAGAGATAATTTGTAAATCTTGTTTATCGTACGTTCATGAAAGAACAATTTATAGGTGACACAAAATCGTCATTAAACTAGGTACATGCTACTAGAAATCCCTTGCTTCCTTACATCTGATCTAATCAGAACCTCACCACTAACCATGAAATGGTTGTCTGGTAAATGTTGAAATCTAATTAGAAACATTTAATGTGTATATTAGTTTAACAATTAGTATACTGGGGCCAAAAGTGATCAACCTTTGCCACCAGTATAAAGCCAGGTCAGCTTGCATATCTGTGTAGATTGGCTCGGCTTGAGCTAAAAGCTATCCGTCTTTGCCACCAGTTTAGATCCAGGTCAGCTTGCTTGGCCATGCAGACTGACCTGGTTGTATATTGTTATTATGTCAATTTTTGTACTCTGATATTGAAATTTGAAACGTTTAATGGACTGTTCCAAATTCAAAGCAAGGCAAATCTATTACACAAATTTAGCAGGTTAAGGGTAAAATTCAGTCATTTTATGTGCACAAAGTATATTGGTTTTAGATATAAAAATTATGTGTATTTTATATATTTAAATACAAAACATTTTATGTTTACTGTATATTATTTATTTAAGCCGTTACATTGCCGTAATGGAAGCTAAAAAACCTTTCCCATCAGTATAGTCAGGCAAGCCAGGTCGCATATTTTTGTGTTGCCTGACTAAGTGCTATACTTAAGTGTGTGGCCAACTTCCATATTTTCATCTTGATATCCCTAAATTTGATAATGGACTGTTCCAAAATGGAAGTTGGACAAGTTTATTTAGCATTTTCATGATGGTTAAGGCGTCACCTGCATAATAACTTATGTTTTACTTAGTATATTGATATACATGTATGATGTTGTATTGATAATTCCAAAATATGTTCAAACACAAAGGATCAAATGTTTTATTTTATGTATTATTTATACAGCGCAGAATCTGTGATTATATAAAACAAGTATATAATATTATTATTCCATTTATAACTTATGTTTGTGCTAATTTTTTGTTTTTTTGTTAATTAAATCTTAGCATGATATGTATTGCCAGGGCTCTCAAATTTAATCCTAGAAATGTGACTAAAAATAGAAGGATGATATACTATTTGTTTTAGAAATGTTCTTGAAAATATTTTTTATTTGTTTTAGAAATGTTCTTGAAAATATTTTTTCTTATACATCTTTTGATAAATAGATATTTTGTGAGTTTGCAATTAATTGTATGAAAATATGTAAAG